AAAAAATTTAGCTCAATCGGTTGAGTAGTTTCTGAGAAAAAAATTCCTAAGTGGACCCTATTTTCGCCAAAATGGGCAAAAATTGCAAACTTTGAAGGTTTGCCATTCATTAACGAATTCGAAACCGGGAAAATGATGACTTAAACACCCCCTAATTTCACATGGACTACAACATATTACGATTAGAACAAAATCGGAGATTTTGACTTCCAAAAGTGATCGATTTGGCGTGGAATGACCCATACATGTTATAGGTGTAGTACATTTTATATCTGTCATATATGTTATAGGTCTAATACATTTTACACTTGTCATACATATTGTAGATATAATGCATTTTATATATTATACCTATAATTTTACAGCTACCATTGCATGATTATATGTATATCATTATAGGTATAATTTTATACCAATAATAAATTATACTTTCTACTATAGTGATGAGTACACTTGGTCGTGCAGTTGGGTGCATGATGCATGCACTAGTCAGAAGATTTTGAGTTTTTCCATTTAGAAATCGAGGAATTTTTAAACTTTAAAGATTTAGAAATTTCGGAATCTGGAAATCTCAAGTTAAATTTTTAAGTACTGCAATTAATAAAATTATAAATTTACAAATGTTGATATTCTGAAAAGTGGAAATCTGGAAAGATGGAAATATCAGAGTTTCAAATTTTATATTTGTTAATTAAGAAATTTCATAATTTGGTAATTTGGTAATTAAGAAATTTCATAATTTGGTAATTTGGTAATTTGGTAATTTAGTAAATTGATAATTTGGTAATTTGGTATTTGGTCATTTGGTAATTTTCGTACTTCATAATTTGAAAATTCAGGAGAGCGGTAATTTGGAACTATGCAAATATTAGAGTTTCAAATTTTCAAAATTGCAAAATTAGTAACTAAGATATTTGATAATTTTATGATGCTTAAAAAATTGTAAAATACAGAATCACATAAATTCCTAATTAAAAGAAATTAAAGAATTGATCAATCAATGCTCGTGAACGGACATCATTTGTCCATGCACGATATACAATACCGATACATAAATTCAAATAGAAGTGTAATTAAAAATGGCTAAAAGTGAAGAAATTCCTAAAAATAAATGAAACCGGTATATTATACATATATTTATTTAAAATTCTCCGAATATCAGTTACGATCATAATTTTAATCAAAACCGCCTTGATCAAAAGGATTAATATTAATAATCTCATAATCCTTCTGTAAATTATTAATATACATATTATTTTCAGTAGATCTATCACAGCAAGTGAATAAAAAAGATGAGATTATAGCCATCTTTGTTTCAAAACCGTGTTTCAAAGCAGAAGGAGGATTGCGTGAGGATAATTAAAAAGGTCTGACAGGTTGGTTGAGAATGTAGGGCGTAGAGTGTTACTTCGTAACAAAAGCACTGTAGATAGAAAAAGTGCTTTACCTCCAAAGAGCTTACAGTAGCTTAGTAAATTATTCTTTGTTCAGTTAAAATACTATGGCGAACAATTCAACTTATACTATTCTTACGTTCTTAGTGGAACAATTAACAGATTAAATTTCAAAGTCGAAATTAACTCTTTAATGGTTACTGTCGCCCTTAATTATCGTTTCTTTTATACTTGATCAGTAAGGATTGTTAGCTGTATTTGTTTTAATTCATGAAGCTTATATTTTTGTTTGGAAGGTTTGGATCTTTGTTTTGTAGGTTCATTTAATAGTTTATTAAATGGTCACACTGGGGTATGAAACAATCCCAGATAATTTAGCTTCAATTTTAGCCATTTTACATTCTGAAAATCAAAATACTTTCTTTGAAACCTCAGAATTATTACTATTTTTTCCTTAAACTGTTATATCTTAAGAGTGTTCAGCTAACATTTTAGCTCCTCGTATTAAAATCGAAAGAAAAATTTGAATTTTTCTGTGAAAACTGTTATTTTTTCAATTTTTACACGTTCCTAAATTTTTGTTCATATTCAGTATTCGAATTTACTGAAATCAGCTGTAAAATATGTTAAACAACTTTCAAAGATTATTTATAATTTTTATCAGGCTAAAATGGGTAGGTTTGAGCATGTGCTTTGTAAGAAACATTTTTAGCGACTTGGGTCTTGAACGTCCCAGTGTATCAGGTATATTACTCTACTAAAGGCATTAAGAATTAACGTAAAATATAGTTTATTTAATATAAAGAACCATGATAAAAGATAAACAGGAAAAATATCGTTACACCCTTCAAACAATTCACGTATTTATATTCTGTTTTATAAATTTCATCAGTTTCCACACTTTCTATTTGTAATCGGTGCAATTATGTATTGCAGAAACGTTATGGGCACGATAAAATCATTGAACTGTTGCGATGACCATTCATTGATCGAATGTATTCCCGTGTTTCTCTTTAATTCTCCGGATTGCAATTATTTCATCCGTGATCGATTTTGATGATACGCTATATAAATCCGAAAAGTATCTTGTGCTCTCGCAGTTTATTTTTAAACACAGTGATTGTTTCAACCTGGATTGTTTGGATTGCGAACACCTGCGTAATTCATTTCCGTTCTGTTCGTGTGTTAAGAGTAGCTTTATTGCACACATTTGAAAGTAAAATCATTTAAATTTCATTTTATGTCCTCCGCTACCTAGTCCAATTTAGTTCATATTTATTAACGTTTTATACTTGAATGGTACAGTGTTTTTAACAATAAAAATTTATGGAAAAATTATCGTGATTTTTATTAAAATATTAATGTCATTGTGCACGAATTCGATATATAATTTGTTAACGAATATTTGTGTTGGTTTTTACGCAGTTTTATTATACAATTAATAGTGTGTTACAATACGTCTTTATTTTACGGCGTCTTCTCTCGCACTACCGCCAAAATGCGCGTCTCTGCAATTCGCGATGCATTGACAAATGAATGCCGATTTTGTTAATTCGCGACATGTCACGATATATCACGATACTCTAACAATTTGCATAGTCAATGTTAATAACTTTTAATTTCTAAACCGTGACATTTGAAGTATATATTTTACCCCTTAACTTATGATTTTCTCAACGAGTGCGTCAGACAGGGCGACTTAAGTATTGTTGTAACATTAAGACAGACAGAGAATGTTCAAATGTCAGAGATATTTTCTATATGGCGATCATTGGTGGAGGGGTAGGAATTGAAATTAAACGCGAAATTGAATCGTGGTGAAAATGTGAGCCAGATTCGTCGCATTTCAAGCATTACGTGCGTCACGTCCGGGAGGCGATATTGTAAGGCAAAGGGTTAAACCCTTAACTTATAATTTTCTACGCAGTTGCGTCAGTAACAGATACCTAATTATTTTTACAACGTTAACACTAGGTTTACGAGAGGTTTATGAGAGACGCATCATTTTGACGCATTTCGAATTTTTTAGGAAAATTACTAAAACCGATCGCATTTTTATTTTATCTCTTGTACCGACTTTTATCCATTGAACAAGGTAAATATATTACATAATATTGAAGTCTATTTTCTATAAAAGCTTTGAAATATTGAAATTTGTTGTGTACCTATCTCTACGGATGTGCGTCAATTTGACGTGATCGTAACGTAAATAAAATTTTAAGTAAATTAGTTTTACCTATGCAAAAATTACAACAATAATAAATATGAATGCACCGACAATACCTTATAAACGACGGACTTCGATAGTCCGGAGTCGCACGCGGCCGACTCAGCCGGTATGCCGGGTTCGCAGTACAAATCCCAGTTAGCAGGGTAGAGGGAAGTAAAAATGTGAATGTAAAATATTGAAGTAATGTAATAAAATATTATTGAATAATAAAAACTTACTATAAATATATATCTCATATTTTCATTTCTTACTTGTAGTGTTTAACCATATTGCTTTCTAAGAGGTTTTTCTTTAACCCTTTGCACTATTTTGACGAGTCTGACTCGTGACGCACTCGTACTTCGGCCGTGATCAATTTTACTTGAATTTTTAATATGCTTCAATTTGGAGTTCAAGTCCAATTATAATTTGCATAGTCAACGATTGCATAATAACATATTGACATAACATTTCAAGATTTTTTGTCTGTTTTAATATTGTAGCTGTAATTAGTCAGTTCCGACTGACGCACCTGACAAATAAGTCATAGTGCAAGGGGTTAAATATATGTATTCGTTCATGCGTCAAATTGACTTATGTTCGTAAAGATAGATATATAAGAAACGTCTGTAAACCTAGTGCTAAAAAGAACAAACATTTCGAATTTTTGATCTTACCATAGGAAGCAATTTCGCTCCGAATTTTCCGGACAATTCAAGAGCGCCAGAAAGCTCGCAAGAAAATACTTGTTACAAAATCCCTAGCATTCTTGCGCTCGAAATCCGCAATGTTTCCGTTGCAGAGCGAAAGGAAAATCCTGTGGTTAGTGTGTACAAACACGTCGATGATATTGCGTTAGAAAATTCCATTATTTTTTATCACCGATTGCCATGTAACGGTAAGATCGTTGTTTAAAGTTGGTCAACGAGCAAAAAGGAAAAAAAAAAGTGAACCAGTTTCGGAGCGAAAATTAGAGACAGAACGGGGAGAAAGTTGATGGCGTCGTGATTCGAAAAAACATCGGTTCGATCTCAGTCGTTTAAGCCGGGAAGTTTGGCAATGGCCCGAGCTTAAATTGAACTTTACATTATTTTGAGGTGAAACGAGGACGCATTGAGAACTGCAAGCTTGTTTCGACCAGATTGGCCTGGCTTTGGGGTGATGGAAAATATTTACCAAGGGAGTCCTGATGTCGATTGCTGTTTCCGCGATACGACCAACGAAAGTATCCGGCTGCATCTGAAATACGATTGCAGATTGGATTAAAGACAAGGCTTTCCCTATATTGCCGCGTACAGGGAAGAGATCCTAATAGAAATGGAGCTAAGGATTCAGTCTTATCGATGCGAAGTTCACGTGCACGGTTCTAACACGAGATTTCCTTTTTTCTGTTGCAGGTATGTCGAGGTATCTCTTCTGTGTTTCTTGCATCTGATGGTATGTAAAATATTTTGTATAATGTAGAGTAAGAGGGGTTGAAACGGGACTGTTTCGCGTTGTTACATTATTTTGTTATTAGACGCCCACGTTATTGCAAATTTTGAAGGATTTAACTGTGATTTGAGTTTTTTTCAAAGTGCGATTCATTTTTCGCACATGTATTTTAATCTTCTCGCAGAAACGATGTATTCTTGCTAAGAAGAATGAGGTGTACTACTTGAAGCACATCATACGAAGTCATGCTCCTTTTGTCTGTAAATAGTTTCCTAATATTTTATGTCATCAATTTCTTGATCATCAAATTCCATATTTGTAGGTCGACTATAAAAGTCCTTAAATTCCTGTGTTCTAAAGCTAACTTCCCATTTTTCAACCCTTGAAAATCCCCCAAAATCGACAATTTAAATTTGTCGAGAAACAGTACTGATATTAAACTGATGTCGATTATTCTGAGAGAAATAAATACAGAAAAAGTGGAGTAGAATTTTATGTGGTATTAATGTTAATATGCTAGTTATGGTGTCTTTGTACATTTAATGTGTACTCTTTTCTTTTCAATGATTACGATATCATTTTTTGTAATCTTTTGAATATTAGCAGGTAAGTAATAATTCACATTACATTCTGCATTCATATTGTGTTTTATATAATGTTGATTCTACAGTTTTTTTAGAGGTAAGTACTTGTTTATGTATTTATGAATTTTATTTTCATATAAATAAACTTATTTTTGAGTTTAGGAATTTTTGAATAATAAAGGTTATTTTGGAATTTGGGGATTTGGGAGCTGTTAACTTTACTTAATACGTACTTACTTTACTTTTCTTTTTTTTTTTTTACTTTTTTAGTATTTTTTTATTTTGGAAACTTGAGAATTTAGGGATATAGTGATTTAGTGATGTAGGGATTGAGGAATATAGGGATATAGGCATTTAGGGATTTAAGGATTTAAGGATTTAGGGATTTAGGGATTTAGGGGTTTAGGGGTTTAGGGATTTAGTAATTTGGAAATTTAGAAATTTAGAAATTTAGAAACTTAGGAATTTAGGAATTTTGGAATTTTGGAATTTTGGAATTTTGGAATTTGGGAATTTGGGAATTTGGGAATTTTAGAATTTTGGAATTTGGGAATTTGGGAATTTGGGAATTTTGGAATTTAGGAATTCGGAAGTTTAAGAATTTGAGGACTTAAAAACTCTAAAATTTGTTAATTTCAGGATTTTGTGCCTCTTGAAATTAGGCTATTTAAGAATGTAAGAGCTTATGACGTCTAAAAATTTGGAAATTTATCAATTTAAAATTTGCTATCTCGAAAAAGTGAAAATGTAGAAATTTATGAATCTTGCAATCTTTAAATTTGAAGATTTGAAACCAAAGATTTTAAATTTAAAGAAATTTTTATTTAATTTTACAGCTATTTGCAAGAAGAAAAATAAAATTCTCTTGAAATGCATCTTTCTGTCACAACCTGTCGAGAAAACGCGAGTGAAGGAAACCTAGAAGATTTGATAACGTCGTTTCGGTTTTTAGAAGGTCGGTAGACTTAAGAGCAAACTATAAACTTAGTGGCGGATTTACGTCGCGTGTCACCTGAAGTCTTAAGTTGCTATTCACCTTTCGGCTCCGATAAGCTTGACTGATGGATCGATGCCTCGAGTCAATGGAAATCTTTTATATCCTCATCATTCCAAACCACCAGCTTTGTGGTCTCCTTTATCTGAAACCTTGCGAAATATCCTTCTCGAGGCATTAACTTGATCTAAGTGATTTACTGTGTACAAAAGTTGGCTTTAAATCATTTTCATCTGTTTAAATATTCGTACAAATAATAAAAGCAGTAATTAAATGTTTAAAAATATATTTATGCGAATGTATTAAAAATTAATACAAAAAATAATTAAATTTAAAAAAATACATTTATGTGGAAATATAAGAAATCAATAGAAACAATAACTAATTTATAAAACAAAAAAAAAATGTTTATGTGGACGTATAACAAATCGACAGAAACAGTAACTAAATTTAAAAAAATTGTTTATGTAGATATATAAAAAATTGATGATCTTTAACATCAAATTTTATTGCAGATGTAAAATTTTGTTGTCATGTATGGTTGACAATATCTTTTGTCGATGTTAATTATAGTTGATGTGTTTTGATAAAATAGGAATAATAAAACATTATGGAAGGTGAGATCTGATTAATGTTTTGTTGATGAGTATTTTTAGTAGAATATGCTAAAGTTGATGTTTATTAAGCTTTAGGGTTTTCATTCTATTTGATAGATTTTGGAAAATGTATTATAACTCGAAAATTCGTATCATGGGTATATTATACATGTTGTATGTATCCTTAAATTTTGTGAAGTGAAGAATGTTTAAATATTTATATCCTCAAAATTATTAACTTTTAAAATAATCATCGAGTTCATATTTGTAAGTAAATATTATATTTTGTAAAAATCTATATTCTCGTTAAAATAAAATTATGGAGTCCAGGGAAAAGTTCTAAATTTGTCTGGCATTGAATGGGTTAACAGAGAATAACATATTGAAAGGTGGATGCATCCATTGAGGATTATTTAACGATTTCCAATTTTCTACTTATCTCTGGCATCGAATATAAATTGATGGTTGCCAAAATGATCGCGTGACGTTCATGAAACCGCAAAGATCGTATAGGAGAACGAAATTTTTGGCAACGATGGACAGGTAGCCACATTTCTTGGACTAATACGGCGTCATAGGTGGCGGACGATCGTTGATGCTGCAGCCGGAACGACAGAGTCGGGGGCGGTGGCTGCGGTCGTCGGCATTAGGGGTTTTAGGGAAGCTTTACGGGACGATGGGGGAAGGGTGCAGGGCCAGCATGGGATTTTGGTCGGGGGTTGGACCGAGCTTGCACTGTTCACGGCGATTAATTCATTGCCGCTTACCGCATCCCGCCGCAAACCGCCTTTTGCCCCATCCGACCCTCTTGTGTCCTCTTCTTCGATCCTCCTCTCCTTCCCCTTTCCGTTGTCTCGGTTATCAGAGACCATCTCGCGTGAACCTCTCGTCCTTTAGAAGCTGTATTGCTTTGCCTAATCGTGTGAAATCGACCGAGATCGATGCTTCTTTGATTCTTGTTAGAACGTCTTTGAGTATACAGGCGGTTCCACGAGGAATAGTACAGGGTAATTCCTTGTTAACCAGTTAGTGAGAATAGGAAAATATAGAAAACTGAGAAAGAGTATAAGACAGAATTAACCGGTAACTGTGGCGATCTTTTTGCAAAGAGCGCACCAGTGTGTGTCGCGATAATCAAGCGATGACGAGTTAGCTCTCAAGAATTTATGAATCCATCTCAAATCATTTACACTTTTTATTTGTTTATTTCATTTCGTGTTGACCTCTAAACATTTTAAACATATTGCAATTTACGAATATAATTTAGTATATACAAATATAATTTTTCGCCAAAACTTCAATTTAAATATCAACATTGTAACAAAATTTTACACATGACGGATGTAGTCGTCATGACACAAAATTCTGCCACATCTCCATGACGGATATAGTCGTCAAACACACTTAACTGGTTAACTTGATTACCACGAGCTCCTGAAGTGCTCGTCCGATACATATACGCTTGATAAATAACCGCCACACGTCTTGCACACATATTACTAATCATCTAGCTGATCAGTTCTTATTCAGTTGGTAATTAGTTATAATCACTTTGAAACAAATTTTAGTCTTTCAGGAGTTGAAATAAACATCAAATTTTTAATTAAAGCAAGTACGATGCAAGGCTACTCGTTCAATCGAAGAAACCGTAAATTAACAATTAACGTCTGATAGCTAATTTGACAATTTCATAATTAATTTTCAGTGAATTTTCAATTAAAGTTAATTTGATTTTCAATGAATTTTCAATTAAATTAGATTTTCAATGAATTTTGAAGTGAAGTTTAATGTTCAATGAATTTCCAACGGAAGTTTAATTTTCCATGAATTTTCTTTTAAAGTATGACTTTCAATGAATTTTCTATTAACGTTAGGTTTTTATTAAATTTTTTATTGAAGTTTGATTTTTAGTGAATTTTCTATTAAAGGTAGATTTTTATTAAATTTTTTATCGAAGTTCGATTTTCATTGAATTAAAGCTTAATTTTCAGTGAATTTTCTATTAAAGCTTAATTTTCAATAAATTTTCAATTAACGTTTAATTTCATTTTAACATCATTGACTTAACAATATATGTGTGTATTTTCATTTCTAGTAAGAAAATATGTAGTTGTCGATTATAATTTAATCGTTTCGTTATCAATCGACTAATTCAATTTCGAAGTATTGTGTCCAGATATATCTGGACAACCTGAAGCATCAAAATTATGAAAAAATCAGTCTTCAAAAGTATATAAAAATGTAGATAATATCTACAGTAAACAAGTTTTGATAGTACAATATTTTTAACAAAAAAAAATGTATTTCCTTAAACTTTTTGAAGAAAAAATTCTTTAAAAGAATTAAGATTTTTAAGAAACTTTTGTGCTGTACGAACTAACATAAAACTGTATCGAAACGAATAAGGAAGCACTTTATTCACCAACTTCCAAATCATCATCGATTCCGTAAAGCTGTAAACTCGTAAAACGTGAAATCGAATATACGTATCCATCATTTTACTTTTCCTAAATCGTCGGAACATGATAATGTTACGTTAGGTATGTCAGGAGAAGCTGGAATCTCCGGTTTCTCGTAACAAAAATTTCTGCTGTATTTTCGGGTATCATATTCTCGATTTCGGCATACGCTTTGTGGAAACTAGCACCAGAACGCGGAACGTATATAGATTCGATTCGTATCGAATGGAAACGGTTCGAGATCGATGCTCGCTATCGTCTCCGAGTTACGCGCTTACGATTGCGTAAGCGTAGCCCGGCGGGAATTTGAAATGCAAAACGGAAATGCGAGGTGGATGCGACCGTGCGGCACCGCGTGGGATTTCCTGTGGTCGTGGGAACGATATGGCCGCTTGTGGACCCTCTATGGATC